ACAGTTGTAGGATCACTCTGGACCAAAAAATCTTCCACAGAAGTTCCAGTTGCCCAGGAAAAAGATACTCAGGTATGTCCTTTTCCAAGAAGCATTTTAAATAGCAAAAGTTTTGATAAATGTTTTAAAATGCCAACATTTTGCGTCAGATTAAATGGTAAAATCTACTGCATCTCTACATTGCCCATTATAAAGAGGCCCTAAGGTGGATTTTAATGTTAGTTATCTATACATGGAGTCTTGATGCTTCTGAAATTGGTGGTTTACTTGGTTGTATGTATACACACACATACATACATATACACACACACACACACACATACATACATATATACATACATGCATACATACATACATACAGTATAAAAACATAAAATCTGGCCCAAGTCTTTTTCTTACTGGCATTTTTTTTTATAATATTGTATTAATTTTCCAATTTTACATTTGAGTATTTAAAAAGCAACCTGGTGACTATTGATTAATAGTTCAATAACAAAATCTTTAGTGCAAATCTCAGGTTACAACATCAGATATTTCTTCTCTTTTTCCCTTAACATTTACTGTCTCGTATTCAAGCTAGTACATTTCTGATTATACTAAATCAATAAAAACATCATTATTACATTTATCCATACATTTTTAGCTTATACATATCTTAATTACATCCAATCTTCATAAACAATCCATATCCTGTTATTAATTTTTACATAATTTTTAATTTCTCATCAATATTCTAATTTAACCTTTGATATCCATAATTTTCAGACTTTGGGTAACCAGGATTTCCCTTATCTCACTTCATAACAAACTATAATATCCAAAATACACATTTTATCTATTTGAATGTAATCTTGTTCTATTTTCTAAAAGGTATCTTTTTTCTTACTGGCGTTTGATGACTTCTAATAAGGATTCTGTGCTAAAGTTAAAGCAGAAATACTTTGACCAATGCTTTTATTAAAATCACTCCGTTTTTTTGGAAGTCACACTGTTTAATTAGAATAAACTGCCCAGCCAATGTATCCTTCTGGATATTCCATGATTATGCCTCTTTTTCAAGTACAGGAAGCTTCACGAGTCGGTCATAGCCTCCCAAAAGCACAGGAGGCCTCTGTAGAACCGGAGGACCAGGCAGAAACCTCAGAAGAACCAACCCGAAGAGAGAGGTCAGACGCCCAGAAAGATTATGAGACTTTGATGGGTGCCATGAAGATGCCAAATGTCAGAATAGGTGAGAAGTTCTAACTGCCCTCACAGGCTTTCGCAACTCTGGATCTGTAATTCCCAAATGGGATGATTTTTCACACCATTTTGGGGTAGGGGAAGTTGTTAAACACCTTTGGAAAACAACGGATTAGCACAGGCTGTATCACACTCTTCCCCACAAGAGACGAGACGTTGTGAGAAATTAAAATGGTGTCTGTCAACCAGTACAAATCGAAGGGAATGAATGAATGAACGCACACAGGTTGTCCTTGAGTTGGGACCAGAATTTCCGTGTCGTGCTTATTGAGTCACGATCCCTTCGGTCGTTAAGCGAATCACTGCATTTGTTAAGGGAGTCACAGAACTGGTAAGCAAAGCTGGCTTCTCCCATTGACTTTGCTTGTGGGAAAGTCACAGATGGCGATCAGGATGCTGCGACCATCATATAAATACACAATGGTTGCCACCCGTCTGAATTTTGATCCCATGACTGTGGAGATGGCTATGATGGTCATAGGTGTGAGGATCAGTCATAAGACCCTTTATTCAGTGCCATTGTAAACTTCAAATGGTCGTAAATGAAGGATTACCTGGAAATAAATAACTAATAATCCTTAGCAGCCCACTCCCTCATTCCAGAGTTGCCTATCCTAACATCCTGGTGTCTATTTGGCAGATGCATTGAAGGCACCCACGTTTAAAGCAGATGCAAGCCTCATGGACTACGGGCAGGCCAGCCCAGAAGATGCAGATCTGTATAGTAAGAGAAGCTAATACCCTCCAGTTTTCCTCATGGGACTTTAAAAACAGGTGGAAGCCCTATGCAATTTGCTCACAGGTCTGCATGGTGATACGGAATCAGGTAGCATCTTAACTCTTGTTCTCTTGCCAATTTTCCCGTGCAATTCTTAAATCCTTTTTCTACTCATTAGTGCCACTTCGGATTTTCAACTGGTTGAAAGTATAATTGGTCTCTGGGTGTAAAACGCAAGAAGCTTCTCAAGAGATCCTCGTTGCCAAATTAGCGAATAATGTAAATAACATAGGATACCCTGCTGCTTCTATTCAAAAGCTTGCAATAATAACATAGCGTATTTAAACCACATTTTGCTTTGCGTTTCTTTCTAATCCATGGGCTGTTCAAAAACTTTTGCTGTCTGACGACCAGAAGGATGTTGAGGTCTGCAGAATTGATTGTGCAACTTTCAGTCCATCAAATATAAACTTTGTGTGCTTGGCTTTAATGAGTATAAGCACAGCGTTAGGTTTCCCATGCATATGAATGCACATCCTTTACAAAGAGGGCTGTTAGGCTGTCTAGAGGTGTGACGCCCACTATGTTGAGCTTATGGAACTAGTATTTATTAAGTAGGGTGGATTGCTAATCAATCTCCCGTTTCGAAGGAAGAGCACACTTTCAAAATATCTTGGTTCTCATGAAAGATGGCAAATATACATGTTCCAGGATAATATTGCAGGATCCAGTCTGGGTCCAGTCTTCTGAACTTTTGACTCGTGCTGGAACCTATCCTCAAGGGCAGGGCTTTTCAACCAGTGGTACGGGTACCACCTGTGGTACATTGGCACCTGGCAGGTGGTACGCGACCATCCTAGAAAAATGGTAGCAGGGGAGGGGAATGAGCTGAACCGGTGACAGCACCGCACAAGCCTGAGCGAGAGACGGCTGGAGCTGCAGGGCTGTCAGGGCTCAGTGGAAGCGCCAGGATCAGCGCCAGGATCCAGCTGGAGCTCGGCGCTGATCCTTGTACTTCTGCTGAGCCCTGAAGAAGCACCAATCAGCTGGAATGTTGCAGCATCTCCAGGGTCTTGTGATTTACATTCAGATGCTTGGCAACTGATTCATATTTATGACTGTCACAGTGTCCCAGGGTCATATGAAGTGACCAAAACCTGCTGCAACCACCCAGCAGACGGGGGGGATAAAAACCAAACACCCCCCCCACCCCACCTCTGCTGCCAATCCTCAACAGAAATGCTCACAACAATGAAAACCTCAGACAGGAGGAAGAGCGCGGCCGGGCGGGCAAGCAGGTGTCTTGCTCAGCTGTGCCTTGGGGGACACTTTTTTCAGTGCCATTGTAACTTCAAACAGTCACTAAGCGAACTGTTGTAAGTCGAGGACTACCTGTACTTTATCACTTTTTTCTTTTTGGGGGGGTCATCAGGTTTTTGATACCTTGCTAGGCGCCTGGTGGTACTTGGATATTGCCATATCCTAAAAGTGGTACAATGGGTGAAAAGGTTGAAAAGCCCTGCTCAAGGGAACTTTCTCTCACCAGAACATGTTGGTCATTCTGGTGAGAGAGAAGTTCCTTGAGGATGGACTCTAACACAAGTCCAAAACCTCAGAAGCGTAAACCTCTGGTCCCAGTGACTGACCAAGATTGGATCCTATCTTAGTTCTCTATTCGCTATGCAACCATGGACATACATTTCCCCAACAGTGTCTTCATGCAAAGTGATGCTTGGTTGATTATACAGTGATGATCAGACCAGTTGCTTTCAATTAGTTCGAAGACTATGTAGTACAAGAGAGGCTGGCCCTTAAAATTTAGACTGAACATTGAGAGCAAAACAGAGAAAGGGTCTAAAACTTGAAGAAAAAGAAAAAGAAAAAAAATACACTTAACATCAAATGACCATCTTAATTGGATCCAAAATTGACTCAGCTTAGGGGATCTAGCAGGGGAAATGTGGGTTTTTCTAAAATCTCACTTGATTGTCTAGACCAAGGGTAGGCAACCTTGGCTCTTTTATGACTCGTGGACTTCAACTCCCAGAATTCCTGAGCCAGCATGTCTCAGCTTGGAAGCCTCTCCCTTTCCCCTCAGCATGGCTGGCTCAGGAATTCTGGGAGTTGAAGTCCATGAGTCATAAAGGAGCCAAGGTTGCCTACCCCTGATCTAGACAGCTGTATTCTAAAATGGGTCCCCAAACTTGGCAACTTTAAGATACGTGGACGTGAACTCCCAGAATTCCCCAACTAGCATGGCTGGCTGGGGAATTCTGGGCGTTCAAGTCCACCCATCTTAAAAGTTGCCAAGGTTGGACACTCCTGCTCTAAAAGCATCATTGCAGAAGTGTAGTAACGGCCAAAGGTGTGAAGCTTCCGGCTCGTTTGGCATAGCATTTTATGGACATGAATTGGACCACCACCACCCCACTTCCCCCGTCAAATAACTGAGAGTTCCATTTTTTCTCCTCCTTGGAGGAAATCCTGAGGTTTTCTGCTCAGAATATTTGTCCTGCTTCCACTTGCTGAAACAGTCTAACTGTTTTAACAATCCATGGAATGTCTTAATGAGGGCCGTTGGGTTGGCCTGACAGATTAAGCTAGACAGGCAGGGAAACACTCTTGCACATTTCCACTCCACCTCCGATTCACACACGGCTTTTCATTTGATACCGTGAGGCTTTAGAGAGAGCCAACATCTCTAACCCGTAGAAACCTTGACTACAAATTCTGGTTTCAAGTGCAGATCTTGATCTACTTCTGACTTTGGTTAAGGAGCCCTGAACAACCAAGAGACCCTGTCTAATGTGCCGATGTGCGTACTTACTAACCAAACATTCAGGGGATCCCACGTCCTACCCAGCACAGCTTGCCCATGGGAAAACACCAGAATCCAATCGCATCTCCAGTTACTACTGCCAGTCATAAAACTTCTTTTTAATTTCTTGTGGCTAGTATTTGCCTGCTTTAAAGCCTCAATTGTAGCGAGAGATTTCCTGAGGAGCCGATGGAACGCCAGCCTCGGACAGAGACTTCCTTGCTATTGTCCGGTTGCCATTCGGACGAGATGCTCTTTATCAAAGCGGAAGAGGTGCCATCCCTCTTCGGTGGACAGATCGGATGCCCCGTGCCTCATGTAGTACTCGATCGACGGCTTATTCCAAACGACGACAAGAAAGTGCATGCAGCTACAGTTGGAATCGAGGGCGATCTGTTCAAGCGGAAGCGCAAAGGGATTGCATTTGAGCGCAGAGGTGAAAATCAGGGGGGTCTTCAAACTTGGCCCTTTAGTGACTTGTGGACTTCAACTCCCAGAATTCCTCAGCCAGCGTGCCTGGCTGAGGAATTCTGGGAGTTGAAGTCCACAAGTCATAAAACGGCCAAGTTTGAAGACCCCCCCCCCCGGTGAAAATGTTCGCAGTGCAATTCGGCAGAATCCACTGCACCAACAGTCTACGACCTTTGCCGCTTGGCGGTTGGGCTGGGGCGGGGGAGAGGGGAACTGGGCCGCGTGCACATGCGGGCATGCAGCCCTTGTGCGAGTGGTAGGCCGGTATGCACATAAGTAGCTGGACTTGCACAAGTTGAGCTGCGCACAGGCGCTCCGACCAGCCATTCACACGGCTCAAATTAAACATTTCGTTAAGATTTGAATGTTTGTATGTATAAAAATTAACTGCATTTTCATGCATGGACCTGTAGGCGCAACTGAACCATGTTTTTTTTCTCTCTGACAGTAGCAATATTCCACATAGAAAATTGTAAAGGAACATTCAGCTGTGAAATCTTCCCTTTGCAATCTAAGAATTCATAAGCAGTTTTTAGCTGCTGGCTGCAAATAAACTCAACTTATGAGAGAGGTCAAGAAATTTAAGATGGTGGACTCCACTGTCATCTTGAATTTTTTTATCTTAACAGACGGCCCTGATCCCGTGGACCCTTTCTTTTGTGGCCTTAAAGAACACAGCCACTGATGGTCCTCTAAATTTAATGTCCAATCCTAGGAATGGCCATTAGGATTGAGGAGTGATGGAAATTTTAGCCACCAACTCGGGTAGAAGAAATCCATTTTGGGAAGGTTGCTGTAACTCATTTTTTTTACTGTTTTGCTAGCTCTTTGGCAATAATTAAGAGTTTTCAAATGAAAATGATGACCATAACATGTAAAATATAACTTAAAAGTGTTAAATGGTTACTTACCTGACTTAAATTTTTTAAAAGTTCTGATCCAATTCCCCAGCCTGCCAAAACACAGTTAAGAAACTCAGTTGTCTGAACTGGAAATTTTCCACCATTTTGTTCTAACCCATAGAATTATATGTACAGAAAGCAAAGGCTTTATTCTACCGACCTCTATAAAAAGGTATTTAGCTGGTTTTGTGTTTCAGATCTTTTGAAAGAAAGAAAAAAAATGTAACTGGCTGCATCTATCTGGGGGGCAACAATCCACCATCGGGGCAGCTGCATTTTACACAACATTGATCTTGCCATGTTTCTCAGCTTGAAGATAGGTAGATCTCAAGCTGCTGAGGTTGAGAAACACTGCTGTATTGGATAGTAACACACTCTTGGATTCACAAAATCGAGAAGAACTCGGATTGTACAATATGCTCGGAACCCATAACCCCAGATACAACTCGTGAAGTTAGTTTATTGGATGCAAGCAGCCAAATTTCCTGGAATGTCACGACCTCTGCAATTCTGATAGGTCACTTAGAAGTTATTCATCCCCCCCAGCAGAGGGGCAGTTTAATCCAGCGATTAAGCAACCAGGTTAGAAAGCAGGAGGCTGTGAGTTCGAGTCCCGCCTTAGCTATGAAAGCCAGCTGGGTGATTTTGGGCCAGTCCTTCATTCTCAGCCTGACCGGCCCACCTCACAGGGTGATGGTTTTCGGGAAAAGAGAAGGAAGTAGGTGGCGTTGGGTAGGTTTGCCACTTTATTTGTAAAAAATAATAAATAAATGCAAATAAGCACCAGAGGGAGGGACGAGAAACTGGTTGGAAACTGACCGAAGAGAGAAGCAACCTGGAATTAAGGAGAAACTTCCCGACAGTGAGGACAATTAACCAGTGGAACAGCTTGCCTCCAGAAATCGTGGGCGTTTCCATCACTGGAGATTTTCAAGAAAAGTCTAGACAGTCACTAGTCTGAGATGGTATAGGTTCTCCTGCTTGAGCAGGGGGCTGGACTAGAAGACCTCCAAGGTCCCTTCCATCTCTATTCTATTCTAACTTTCAAAATAAAGCAGAGGCAGGGCAAGATGGTCTCCTAGTTCTTCTTCTTTCTGTCTTCTAGGATCCTGTCTCAATTACAGGCTTGTCTCGAAACTCAGTGCCAGGAGTCCTATTTTATATACAGGTAATCCTCAACCTAGGACTGCAGTTGAGCCCAAAATGTCTGTTGCTAAGTGAGGCATTTGTTAAGTGAGTTTTGCCCCATTTTACAAACTTTTCTTGCCACAAACTTTAACAAACTTTTCTTGCCTTTTCTTGCGAAGTGAATCGCTGCATTATTTTATTTTTTTTAGTAACACGATTGTGAAGTGAATTTGGCTTCCCCATTGACCTGGCTTGTCAGGAGTTTGCAAAAGGGGATCACGTGACCGTGGGATATGGCAACCGTCGTAAATATGAGTCAGCTGCCAAGCATCTGAGCGGGGGGGGAATGCTACAACGGTTGTAAGTGTGAAAAACGGCCGTAAGTCTTTTTTTTTGGTGCGTTGTAACTAAATGAACTGTTGTAAATCAAGGACCACTTATATCAGTGGTGGCGAACCTATGGCACGGGTGCCAGAGGCGGCACTCGGAGCCCTCTGTGGGCACGCATGCCGTCGCCCCAGTCCTAGGCCTTCAGCTGGGTTTTATAAAACCTTTTCGCTTTAGGCCTCCGTCGCCATGTGCAAAAAAAAAGAGGTTCAATCAATGAGTCAATTTCAACTTCTCGCGGGAAAAAGATCTTGCAAAGTTGGAATTGATTGATTGAATTTTTTAGTCCCACCCAGTCTGCCGTTACTACCGCAGCCATGCCCACCTAATGGGCCACGCCCACCCAATGGGCCACACCCAGCCGGCACTCGACGATGCATAAGTGGGTTTTGGGTTGCAGTTTGGGCACTCGGTCTCTAAAAGGTTCGCCATCACTGACTTATATACTACCCTTCTAGCTAAGAGAGAATTCTGGATATAATAAACATCGGGCAGAGACGTGAATGTCGATCAAAACCTGACTATTCTTCTGCAGTCCTGCCACAAGGTCCTAATTCCACCTGGTGGTTCTCTTCCTTTTTCTGGCTGTATTAGAAGTGGGCAACAAGGAAACAGGGTTGTTAAGTTACCTCTATATTGTTCCATAACATAGAAGTCTTCTAAGTATAACAGCTTGCCAATCCAAGGGTCGTATGTAAAGTAATACATAGCAAAAGCTACAATACCTGCATCTGTGGGGTAAAAAAAGAAGAAGAAGAAGAAGGAGCACCGCTTTAAGGAATTATGTACCCAAAATGAAAAAGGTAAGCCTCGGCTGGAGATGTCACCTGAAGATGTAACGAAACATTTGGAAACCAACCCACAAACTCAGAGGACGAACCTTCACCCTCATCCTACGCCCGAGCTACAGATACTCGCCACTATTGCATATCTAGCATTACAGGTAGTCCTTGACTTAGGACCACAATTGAGCTCAAAATTTCTGTTGCTAAGCAAGACAGTTCTAAGTGAGTTTTGCCCCATTTGGTGACCTTTTCTGCCACTGTTGTTAAGTGAATCGGCCGTGGTTAAGCAAGTAACAGTGGTTTAGTAACACGGTTGTTAATTGAATTTGGCTTCCCCATTGACTTTGCTTGTGGGCAGGTCGCAAAATGTGATCGCATGACCCCGGGAACCCTGCAACCGTCATAATTAGGAACCAGTTGCCAAGCGTCTGAATTTTGATCACGTGACCCTGGGGATGCTGCAACAGTCGTAACTGTGAAAAATGGTCATAAGTTACTTTTTCCAGTGCCGTTGTAACTTCAAGCTAACTGAATGGTGCTCAAGTCAAGAACTATGTGTAAGATTATTGTCTCTCTATGCTTTTTCAGTGCTCCGGATTAAAACATTTTCTTTTAACAGTCGTCCTCCATTCCCAAGCGCTGTTAAACATTCCACCAGAGATCTCTTTTCAAAAAAGCATGCACACAAAACACATACACACCTGCACGGTTTTTAAAAACCAGTGCTGGAGAATGGGATGTTTAATGTCTTGCTGCACAGTGAAGTTCCTCTGTTTATTATTTCAGCACTGCTCTTCTATCCGAAGGAGTTTACAACAGAAAAGATTGTAATTGTCTCAGAAAGAAAGTGGGAAAAGAATCTTTGTATGATCCATTTTTCATTAGTGCAACATTTATTGGGGGAAATGGTTCCAATATCTCAGGGGCTGCCCCAAAGAAGAGGGGGTCCAGCTATTCTCCAAAGCGCCTGAAGGCAGGACAAGAAGCAATGATAGAAAATAATCAAGGAGAGAACCAACCTAGAACTAAGGAGAAACTTCCTGACAGAACAATTAACCAATGGAACAACCTGCCTCCAGAAGCGGTGAATGCTCCAACACTGGACGTTTTTAAGAAGAGACTGGACAGCCATTTGTCTGAAATGGTGTAGGGTTTCCTGCCTGAACCCTATACCATTTCAGACAAATGGTTGTCCAGTCTCTTCTTAAAAACGTCCAGTGGAGGAGAAGACTGTTGAATTTCTGGCTTTACAACAGGTACTGTACTTTCCATCCTGCAAAGATACGGTAGTTAAGACTCATTTCAAAAACTATAAGAAAACTTTCTGGCTTACCTAGCATTACGTTTTCTGATGATACCTCTGCTACTAAACAGTGGAAGAAGGGACGAGTTCCAAAACCATCTCGAAGTAAATCTGAAAAATATTCAAGCCATTGAATGAAGGGAGAAAAATACTAAATGAAAATCACAAAAAAGAGGACCACCACTGGTAGATCTGGAGATAAGGTCAGCTCCATAGCCGGGAGGGGGAGAGAAAGGGGCAGAGAAAGATGAGAGAAATAGAGAGGAAGAAGATAATTAGATATAGGTAGGATAGAAATAGAAATGATAGATGAGACAGAGAGACAGATGATAGAGATAGATTACACAGAGGACAGACAGATTAGATAGGTTGAGATAGATAGATAGATAGATAGATAGATAGATAGATAGATAGATAGATAGATAGATAGATAGATAGATAGATAGATAGATAGATGATAGAGATATATAAAGAGACACTAGAGTTGCTAGAGATAATTAGATATGGATAGGATACAAATACCTGTTTCTGTTATTTTTACTGCTTCAGGCATGTTTTCATAAGCAGCCAGCTCCTGCCAAGAGAAGAAACCAGAATGTCACTGGGATAAAAAAAATAAATATGTTATTTGTTCGGACTTCTTAATAGTTGATAGGCTAAACAAGAGGTCTCCAACCATTCCGGGCTCGAGGACCGGAGCGAAGGAGAGCAGTTTCAAAATGTGTGTGTGTGGGTCCGCGCATGCGCACGGGGCCACGCACACTGGTGCGGCACTAGCAGCCCCGTTCGTGCATGCGGTATGCGCTGGTGCCATGCACATGCATGAATGGCCAGGTACCCTCCGTGGCAGCTAGCGGCCCGTTCGCACATGTGCAAATGGGCCACGCAAACCGGGCTAGCAGCACATGCACAAACGGGCTGCGGACAACTGCTCTGTGCTAGCATTCCCGTTCACGCGCATGCGCAAACGGCGCCGCGGTTGCGAGCACAAGTGGGGAAATACACACCCACGCCAGCTAATTCCGCGGCCCATTGGCCAAGAGCCCACGGCCTGGTCCAGGGCCGTAGACCATAGGTTGGGAACCCCGGGCTAGACCCAGCGGTGGGATTCAGCCGGTTCGCACCACTTCGGCAGAACCGGTAGCTAATTTGTTGTTTCCCAGGCCCAGAACGGACGTCCGGAAGCGGCATCCACACAGAGAACCGGTTGTTCCCATATTTGAATCCCAGCACTGGCTACACCCCCTGCAGGCCCATCTCTCCTCTCCTCTCCTCTCCTCTTACTCTAATGAGTCGCATGATATGAGAACAGTCCCGCGGCTCGGCTGGTCGCACCCGGAAGCGATTCATGGAGTTGCTGTTGCCTTCCATAGTGGGAGTCTGAAGCAGCAGAGTGGCTGTTCGCTTCCCACAAAGGGGCTTAAGCGCTGCTGAGCCTCTGCTGGGGCTCCTTCATTCACCATCTCAGAGAGTGAGGGTTGGACAAGGCAAGAAAAAGAAAAGGAAGACAAAGAGGAAGTTTAAAAAAAAGGCGGTCTTCCTATTTCCCCACCACCCTTCCCCACGTTCTCTTTTCTCCTGTCTGTTTACAAAGGTGGGGATTGGAATTGTGGCCTCTGTTTCAGGCTAGCTTACATCCCAGCTTGTGCTTCACTTCAGGGGTCACCCAACTAGGCCCTGGTCATGCAAAGAGTCACAATGGGACCGGCATCACAATATCCCATCTCTGCTCATCTTCTTCCCTACAATGATCAAGGCAAGGTGAAGTGGGGAGGGATGATCTTAAGGTAGGCCCACTCTGATTCTACTTCTCAATCTTTGAAATCTCAAGTGGGAATTTATGAATGGACTTATTAGGGTTTTTCTTCCCCTCTCTTCTTCCAAGAAGTACGCAGGTAGATGGATGTCCCCATCTACCTGCGGATACAAGGAGGATAGGAAGAATGCTAAGGAAAGCCACCTACTTCTTGGAACAGGTCTTCACTCAATGTTGGAGAAAAAGAAACTGTAATAATTTGTTGTTGTTAATTGCGAAGTCGTGTCCGACCCATCGCGACCCCGTGGACAACGTTCCTCCAGGCCTTCCTGTCCTCTACCATCTTCTGGAATCCATTTAAGCTCACGCCTCCTGCTTCAGGGACTCCATCCAGCCACCTCATTCTCTGTCGTCCCCTTCTTCTATGGCCCTCCATCTTTCCCAGCATCAGGCTCTTCTCCAATGAGTCCTTCCTTCTCATTAGGTGGCCAAAGTATTTGAGTTTCAACTGTAATAATAATCTTGCATTTATCCTTGATTTATATAACCAGTATAAGACACAGTTGGGTATGTATAATAAGCTGAAGTCTCACACTAGTAAGGCAGGGACAAGCAAATCCATAAATTGTCTTCCTTCAAAGAGTCTTGTCAAATCCATGCATCACAAAATGGGGTTTTCAAACTCACTTCCCACCAACATTTCCATGGATGAGGCACCATCATGGCCAGCTTTGGACACTGTACCCAAAGATAAGACTTTAGAAAACGAAATCATATATAGCACAATTGAACTGCTGTTTTTATTCAGGGTATTTTCCAGTTCTCTTTTGCATGATGAGCTCTAGATAAACAAGTCAGGTGACACAGCTTTTGAATAGGTAGGAGGATTCCCAGAGAGAGTCAAAAAGTCCAAAGGACCATTTGAAGGGGAATTAAATGCCACAGAGATTGAAGATGTGTTGAATTTGACTAATAGATATCTAAAAAACTCCTTTCAACTGCCATGTGACTCTGTTTTTAATAAGGGAATCTTTAGAACATTGCCCTTATAGAGAAGGAAGTAATTCTGCACAATCATACTTAGGATCAATAATCCTTCTGCTGACATACTTGTTTTAAAAAGATCCTTATCTAAATTGCATTCAGTCGACAATGAATTTATTTCCTCAAGAACATCGCTCAGGAGAAACAATAAAAGGGATTTTATATATTTATATTTATATAAATGTTTGATATGTGAATGCCATTTTTGTTAAATTCTTCAGCCTTGCTGGGATAGTTTATAATCTCAGTTTGGGATTTTATCTTCTGTGTAGAGATAGCCATTTGGAACTTAATTTAACAGACTAAAAGAGTTGGAAAGTTATCTAGTCCAACCCCCTGCTCAGGTAGGAAACCCTACACCATTTCAGACAAATGGCTGTCCAGTCTCTTCTTAAAAACTTCCAGTGTTGGAGCATTCACCGCTTCTGGAGGCAGGTTGTTCCACTGGTTAATTGTTCTAACTGTCAGGAAGTTTCTCCTTAGTTCCAGGTTGCTTCTCTCCTTGATCAGTTTCCATCCGTTGCTTCTTGTCCTGCTTTCAGGTGCTTTGGAAAATAGCTTGACTCCCTCTTCTTTGTGGCAGCCCCTGAGATATTGGAAGACTGCTATCATGTCCCCCCTCGTCCTTCTCTTCATTAAACTAGACATACCCAATTCCAGCAACCGTTCCTTATATGCTTTAGCCTCCAGTCCCCTGATCATCTCACTTAACAAATGTCTCACTTAGCAACAGAACTTTGGGACTCAATGGTGATTGTAACTCAAGGACCACCTGTAGAGGATTGTTTCCTGCTGGTTGAGGATGTGTCACAGAAAAGGAGAAAAACAAAACCAAGAGAATCCACCATTTTCTGTCCTTAATGTGCCCTATGTATCATTAATAAGGCTATCACCACTTGTCAGGGTATTCTGGTAATCTGCTTTTCATGGACATTATCATAATCTATATGCAATATATTTAGGAAACGCTATGATCCCATTTCTAGTCATTTATTTACATGAATATTAGTCTTAAAACCAATCCAAGAAGACTTTATCTTTAGAAAAGTTAATTAAAAGCCAGAAGTGATGCTGTAAAGCAAGTTCAAAATCCATGACCTTTGGTCTAATGTAAATCAAAATTGCTCAGATTGGAATGGAAACTTCAGAAAGCTGGAAAAGCATCAAATCTCTCTTTTTCGAAGGAATTCCATGATGTGGGCATCCAGATTTCACCTGCTCCTACTTCTGCTGTTAACCATCCCTTGTCTGACCGCTCAAGCTGCAAATCGTAAGAAAACCTTTGGGATCTTTTTTTAGCTGACTTCTAGTTAACTCGATCCTCCCGATATCAGAATCAAGTGGAATCCTTTGGAACTTGACTTTTTTTTTAAGAAGTGGATGTAGAAAGGGCTAAGATTAAAATCGGCAATCTTATATGCATCCGTTGGAAACAAAAGAACACAGGCCGCAAGGGATGGGCCTGCACAATATATTTACCTAGTGCCGTTAAAGACTTAACATGCTAAACCTGGTTAGTTCCTCTGGAGCTTAGCCTATTGTGCCAACCTAGTCCAGGAATGATGATTGTGTGAATCTAAAAAGGGGTTGATTTAATCGCCAGCATGCAGTGTGAAAGAAGACAAAGGATGAAAGATTGTATCATGCAAAATTCTGATTATCCTCTATCATAACTTTGTTCTCACACAGATAATAATAATAATAATAATAATAATAATAATAATAATAATAATAATAATAATAATAGTAGTAGTAGTAGTAGTAGTAGTAGTAATAGTAATAACAGTAATAGTAATAGCAGGGCTTTTTTTGTCATAGAACGCCCAGAACAGAGTTCTGGCACCTTTTTTGGATGGAACCTTGTAGGGTAGGCAAGGCGGGTTGTATGAAGTGTGTGAGTTCCGGCACCTTTTTTTTTTTTAACAAAAAAACCCCACTTAGTAATAGTAATAATGATAAAGTTCGAATGGACCTTGGAGGTCATCTAGTCCAACCCCCTGCTCAGGCAGGAAACCCTATATCATTTCGGACAAATGGCTGTCCAGTCTCTTCTTAAAAACTTCCAGTGTTGGAGCATTCACCACTTCTGGAGGCAGGTGGTTCCACTGGTTAATTGTTCTAACTTGTCAGGAAGTTTCTCCTTAGTTCTAGGTTGCTTCTCTCCTGGATGAGTTTCCATCCGTTGCTTCTTGTCCTGCCTTCAGGCGCTTTGGAGAAGAGCTTGACTCCCTCTTCTTTGTGGCAGCCCCTGAGATATTGGAAGACTGCTATCATGTCCCCCCTCGTCCTTCTCTTCGTTAAACTAGACATACCCAATTCCAGCAACCGTTCCTTATATGTTTTAGATGTGGGGGACCAGATTAAAATCAAGATTATAAATCCTCCATGATTCTCTACTTGAGACTGAAAGTCCAAATATTGCTGAGAAAGAGGAGGGGGATAGAAATTTCTTGACTAACTAAAAAAAAAAGTTGAGTTCTTCCTCTATGGGAAGCAACTTCTGTCTTTTGGCTGAGAGGGACCAAAAACATGTTATGGTCCTACAATCACGGGAATGTAGATAAAGACAGTTAGAATGTTTAGAATGCTGAGTTTAGATATTTCCAGAAAGACACTGTTGTTACCCACTGGCAATCTGGAGCAGAAGCATAATTATAGGAGTGAATTATTATTGCTGTCATGGAAGAACTTAAAATTAAATGAATGCCCTTATCAAGTCTTATGGTCAGCTATTAATCACACAAAACACAATCCAATCCTTTTTTTCCCCAAACAGGAAAAAGTAACTTGCTGGTGATTTGGGAAAAGAGAAGATAAAATAGAAAAAAAAAGAGTAAATAAACAGTTTTTTGTTTCTTCTCATATAATAGAAAAGGAAGCAGGTTCACATGTTGCAGTAAGTCGTAGCTTGTTTCAACTGTAGCTTGTTGAGTAAGCCTTGTTTGGCTTGTAAAAGTCCGTTCTAGTCCAATATTCCTTATAATAGAAAAAAAAAGTTTTTTTAAAAAAACAAAATTCTGCTAAACATGGCTTGCTATGCTATTAAATGAATCATACCTAGCTCTGTTCTCATGCCTTGCTAAGCCATAACTCTGGCTTATGAAGGGCAATAGCTGAGCTGACAGATTGTATTGCATCCAAACCAACAAAACTATATCACGGTTAACACAATGCATGAACCTGGTGAGAGATCCACGTAGGCAGTGAAATTTGGTCTTGGAAGTCCACTGATGACTAATGTGACACAGTGGTTGAAGTGACAATTGTCTTGTTTTCCAGCTGATTGCACCCATGTTGCAGACTTTGATAACTGTGTAGGTGATACAATCGGTTTTTGCCCAGAAGGGATTACCTGCGGTTGCAAAGATAAAGTGCCTTATTGCAAGTAAGTTTACTTCCTTGTTTTGGGAATTGGGGAGGAGGGATGTATTTGCAAAGTCCAGCCTCTTCTTAAAAGCCTCCAGAGATGGAGAATTTATAACTTCCATAGGGGCAACTTCCACTATGAACTTTTTAATCTAGGCAGCGCTATCTATCTATCTATCTATCT